TAATTTATTTTCTAACAACGAAAGAAAAAAGTCTTTGTAACTACGGAAACCTTAACGTTCCCATAGAAACGCTGTTAGCTATGATAGAGTGCTAGCGCTCAAGTAGTTTGCCAAAGAACGAGCAGTGAGGATGGCGGCGCCAGTCGTTGCATAGGATAAAGTAGAAATCTGCTTATCGACAGCAGGTCGCTACATTGTCAATCATCCCAGTGACATCTCGTGGTGGTCATAGGAAGTAGCTTCTCCAACCATTGTCATTCTACTAGAAGGATGCTACCAACCGGTAACGCATATTTATTTGTCCAATTTGTTCATTTGTCCATGCACGCAATCAAAGAATTATCTTAGTTAGTACCCTAACCACTAGTAAACGAGATGACGGAACAATCTATCAAAGAATACGGTATTCTTTGGTATTGTACCGTCATCGCCTAAGTACCTACTAACGCCCACTAGTGGTCCCGGTAGTAAGTAAGATGAATCAGGGGTAGATTAAAAATTGGATTTGTTAGCTCCTATGTACTTTACTTTTTTATACTTTGAAACTTTATTCTTTTTTAAGTACACACACCAGTTTTGTTTACGTGCCACTTTCTTCAGCATACTGTGATCATTCTAAAAAGCTCATTACCGAAATCTAGAAATTATCTCATTATAAATTTCTATGAAAAGAATAAGATAGTATATGATATGCACAGAAGAAATTTATTTTTACGTAACACATTTTTCAGCACCTGTGACTCTTCTGAAAAGCTTGTAACCAAAACTTTGAAATTATGTTAATAATAATTTCTACCAAAAAAAAATAATAGTACATGATGTGCAGAATTTTAACGTGCCACTTTCTTCAGCATCCTGTGATCCTTCTAAAAAGCTTAATACCGAAATTTTTATAATTTATTTATTATTATTTATTATTTATTTTTTTAAATTACCTTCATATTGATTTCTATTAAAAGACAAAACATTAGAGGAAATGCTAAGAGGTTTGTTATTTTTACGTGCAACTTTCTTTAGCATCCTGTGATCCTGCTAAAAAA